TTGACATAAAATTGGATTAAAATTTTATTTTACTTTATTTGACATCTTGTTTGGCTGTGTGTCTGCCTCTTCTTCTGTTTTTTTTTGTTTTTGTTTGTTTGTTTACGGTCATTAAAAATGTTAAAGGGTTAGTTTACCAAAAATGAAAATTAGCCCATGTTTTACTTACCCTCAAAGCATCCTAGGTGTATATGACTTTCTTCTTTCAGACAAATCCAATCGGAGTTATATTAAAATTTTTCCTTGCTCTTCCAAGTGTTTGAATGGGAGTAAGCGGGTGATTTTTTTTCAACAGTCCAAAAGTAATCAAATAAAGTGCGCGCATGCGTAATAAAACGTGCACGGAAGCACGGAGGAGAGACAGCAAAACAAAACGCCGGTCACGAATTAGAAGCACAAAATGAGGATTTGTAAAGAAAAAAGTAGGAGGATTTTGATATAAGCCAAGAGGAGACTAGTTTTCCTTTGCTAAAGTAAGAAAACTTTGCTTCCTTTGCTCCAGTAAACAAACTCGCGAGACTAGCATATCTCACTGGCGCGTGCGTGACGTATATGTCCTACGTCATCCACCGGAACGGCTTGCACGTATGACAGTCAGCGGAAGTGAGAGAAAAGTATTTATAACATTTTAAATATGGATATTTTTCTTACAAAAACGCTACAGGAGACCTTTATTCACCCCCCGGAGCAGTGTGAGCAGTGGCGGCTGGTGAAAAAATTTTGAGGTGGGGCTATGGCACATTGGCACATCAAACAATTACAGCAAGCGTTGCGATATGATTTATTGCAATGCAGACAAAGTTAAAGAACATCTGGTTTCATATTATGATGGTAAAAACATATCTTTTTTTACATATGATTTTCTAATATATCACATCATACAAATATACATTTAAATAATTTATATAATTATTATTTTGTGTGTGTGTGGTTCAGGGAGGGCGGCGCCCTAGCGCCCTCTATTGGCCAGCCGCCACTGAGTGTGAGGCACGTTTTAATATAGATGCGCGCGTTTTATTTGATTACTTTGGACTGTTGAAAAAAAAATCATCTGCTTACTCCCATTCAAACGCTTGGAAGAGCAAGGAAAAATTTTAATATAACTCGACTGGATTCGTCTGAAAGAAGAAAGGCATATACACCTAGGATGCTTTAAGGGTAAGTAAAACACAGTCTAATTTTCATTTTTGAGTGAACTAACCCTTTAACTTATCTGCAAGATAAAGAACATTTGTGCCATATCCTGCATTCAACATCTGTCTCCCTTCATCCCATCTGTTCTTCATTTTTGTATAACATCCAAGATTATATCAACGCAATGTTCACAGACACCTAGCTGGTGATGTTTTTCTGTTTACAAGAACATAACAATTGAATATTCACCTGATTTTCATTGGTAATAAAAAGGCAGCTCACAGGTATCTAGAGGGAGTTGAATTGCTCATTAACTTCTTGCTGTGTAATGGCGTCAGAAATCCTTCAGCAGTGTTTTGCATATACGCAAGGGGTTGTACAGAGGATTCAAGGCAGCGAGGAGTAAGTTAAACTAGGATTTAGTTTAGGAGAGTGGGAAGAGACTGATTTTACTCATTCTTGTATGCAAGAAGTCAAATAAATAAGGCCTATAAATAGGCCGTGTCTATGTGACATTGCACTGAAATATGTTGGTATTGTGCCACTGAACTAGACACAGCCCAGCCCGAGTACAAAGCTTTGTGGGATTTCAGAGGTGAGGGTGCAGGATGTACAATGCCAATCGTTTTCAGTGAACTTGAATGAGGATGTGCTGGTTTTTGACCTGTGTTCACGGCAGACACTTTTGCTGACAGTGAGGTTGTTGTGTTTTGAACTGTGTGTATAGGTGGCTGTTAGTCCTGCTATGAATAAAATCATAACAGCAAAGTTAATCTGACTATGAATAGCAGCTGTGGCCTGTTTAGTGTTCGTTATTTAGAAATGATTATGGTTTGAGTTGTTATTCTGCATCTTTGCATAAATTTGTGTGAATAGCTAAATAGAGTCAGTAAGTGTTTATCAAGTCTTGCACTTATGTGGCTCAGCTCTTATTTATCTAATACAGCTCTCAACAATCAAAGTGATGCCAAACATGCTGTATCACTGAGATTAAATTAACAATGAACATCACTTTCAAGAAAACTCTGCATTGCTTCTCTTCTAGCCCTGTTTATTTTTGTTATTTTTTACTTATTAATTTATTTATTTTTAATGAAATTATTTAATTATTATTGTCATATTAATAATATTCATCTGAATATTTTAGGATTTTAGTTTAGTTTTATTTAATATTAAGGTTAGATAATATTAAGATTAATTATATATTACTATTATTATTATCATTAGTTAAATATTATGATACAAATATTTTACATAAATTAGTTTTTAGTTTTGTTTATTAAATGTTATAATATAGATAAATTAAGTATTACCATTATTATATTTATTTTTTTCTTATTATTTTAAAATGATAACATTTTAATTTATAATTTTGTTATTTTGTATTAAATATTATATATACATTTTGTAGAAAATATAGATAATACATATTATTAGTTTAGTATTGCATTTGAATAAAAGTGATCTGTTGTCTATTATTTTAAAGATAACATTTTGAAATGTGAGATTTAGATTTAGACCTTGATAGATTATTTTTATTTATTATATCAGTACTTCTGAATGTGGATTGCTCAAAAACTGTGATGCACATGGTTTTTGCAAGGCAACAAAAAGCTGACCTCTGTTAAATCATTTCCACAGTTAAATTAAATTGCATTGTGGGTAAATTATATTATGGGGTAATTCTGTTGTGGTTTGGGCTAATTTGATTGTGTTGTGGACCAAAGCTGTTTGTTATCAACTCTAGTTTGCTTTGCAAATACTGATGTGTTGTGCTGTTCAGTGCCTTATGCTTTAGTGTGCAAGGAATAATCGATGATGGACCACTGATTTATTTCAAATTAATGTAGATGCTTTTCATGGACATTAAAAGTAATCTTTGGGGAAAATTGTCAGATTGTCATATTACCTAATTTGCTTGGCCTCTCTCCAATCAGAATTGAGCATTCAACCATGCTGTGGTATAAATATGCACTTAATACTTTTAATGCTGAGGGCCATGAACCATATTAGAGTGTCTGCTCACCAACACTGAGATTTGCCTTGATGTCTATCTGAGACCAATGAAAGATGCTGCGCTTGAACACTCACACAACAACAAGAAAAAAGGTGGTGTTGAAGCTTTGACCACAAGGCCTGTCTTCAAAGTGCAGCTGATTACAGAACCGGCTTTACTGATAAGATGCGAGTTAAATATCGCATGCGATTTATCGTGCAGCCCTAGTATAAGTCATTATAATCAGTAATTATGTCCCCACTGGATGCAACAAATGCCTTGTTTGTAATGGGTTTTAATGTTTTTGTCTCGTCGCTCCGGCCGGGACACGGCATCAACAGTATGTGAGGGGTGTAACATTTCCGTCTCACGCTTGAGGTATTCGGCCAATCACAACGCATTGGATAGCTGGCCAATCACAGCACACCTCGCTTTTTCAGACCGATGAGCTTTGTTCAAATCGACGCGTTTCAAAAAGGCGGGGCATAGAGGAGAAACAATAATGTACAGTATGTGGAAAATAATGTGTTTTTTTTTACTTTAAACCGCATAAACACATTTCATTACACCAAATACACAAAATAATATTATTTTTAGCAGCATCATATGACCCCTTTAATGAAATATAAGGGTTTGCGTGAAGGTTAGGCACAGGGTTGCGAACCAAAAGCGTCATTAGCTCATTATAAAACAGTGGAAGTCAATTAAATGTCCCCACCCTCATAGAAACACAAATGTGTGAGCGTGTTAGAGAACGGGGGAGAAAGTGTTGCATAATAAGTCAGGTACAGCTGACTGGTGGCTCTCAGGCTGCAGCTCTATAAATAGACGAGGAGAGATGGGAATAAATCAGCCAGTCAGCATCTTCCTCTCACTCTCATCCAGCTCCTCCCCTTTCTCTGTTCCCTCTTCCTCCTCCAAACCCCTTTGGCTCTCTTTCTTCACCTCCTCCCCTTTTGCTCTGTTCATTCTCTCTCTCTCCCCTCCTTTCTTTCTCATTTCTGTCCATCCCCAGTAATTTACATTAATATTAACTGCATAACCAGTCTTCTTTCTGCCTCTCCTATTTCCTTTGCTTTTTTCTGTGCTTTTTTGCTTTTAGTTTGTTCTATTGAACACAAAGATGAAGGCAGCAGATTTGTTTAGTTGACACTCATATCAAAGCAGTTTTAGACAGGTAGTAATGTGTCAAGGGTCATTTTCCTATATGTCCTGCCCAATGAAGCCGGTTTAGGTTGTCAGCTGTGTCCAGAAACACGTGGTGTTTATTCTGATATTTTACTGCTGCAACCGTGGGTCTGAATGTTTATTAAAATTCCTGTGTCACATGTTTCACTAGCAGCGGTGCTGTATCGATTCAGTTGGATTCACGTCTTTGTTCTTCTCTGCATGTTATCACTGAATAGAATCAGTTTCCAGTGACTTTCCTGCACAAATAAAGGTCATATGAATACAAAGCAGCGGTATCCACATTTATCTCTATTCTCTGCGCATGGACCTCTGACATTCACTCTGCGGGGGGACGGGAAGTGTGTGCCATCCTCTCTGAAACCATTAGTGCCCACTGCTTATTTTCTTGGAGTCCATAGTCTTGGATTCACACACTGTCAAGTAGATGCCTGACTAGGGGAAGTGTTAATACTGTATGGTCATTTAGGATTTTCAATTTATTAGTGTTCAGAATGGGCATTAGTTTAGTCTGGATGCAAATAGGTTTACATGAGCTCGGGTTAAGCGCCTTTGTCTGCTTTTACACACGCTTTTCCCATTTCAAAAAAGTTGTCACTAAAAGCAAATCCTGTATGAGTAGAAGGGCTGCTGTTTACCACAATATCACAGGTTAAACTAAAGTCTTTTCTTGTCTCTCCAGAATCCTGTCCACAGTGGGCACAGACCTTGATCTGAGGACGCTGCGTGCTGTTCGAGTGTTGAGACCCCTCAAACTGGTGTCTGGGATTCCCAGTGAGTAACATATTGTCATTGTTTACTCATGTACAGTATTTGTACAGGTGTTGGACAAACTAACGTGAATACTCATTATTAAAAGGGTTCATATAATTTGTGTAGGCTACAGCAAAAAACAACAACAAAAGAAATGATTTGCTTATATTTATCTTTTTATTGTCTATATTCTTTAGTTTGTAAATTAGTGTAGTATAAGTTTTGTTCATCATTGTTTAGGAAAAGCCATCTGTGAAATGGGTGATTTGTCAGACTTCCAAAAAGGAAGATTCCAAAATCTTGGGAGCCCATTTAGCAGGAGCCTCTGTAACCCTGACAGCCAAAGAACAAAAATCTTAATTAATGATCATGGCTGCATAAACAAAGCATGGCAAGACTTTATCAGCAAAGAAGAATAGTGGGTGAGAATTGAAGGTGAATGAAAGGAACTGTTGAACACTAAGAATGATTGACTCTGTATCTGCAAAAACAATGCATCACACTAGGTTTGAACTCATTAGCTGCTTTCACACCAGAGGAACCTTTACATAGTTCCTAGAACTATTGGCAGATGTTCCCACTTTTTGGCATGTTCGCACCGCAAGAACTAGGAAAGTATTTAGGTCTAGGAACTCCTTTTGGGGAAACGAATTTAGCTCCTTCAGAGTAGGGACTAAAACACTTCTATAGGAACTACCAGTGACATAAGTGTACGCTGAGTGGACAAACGCATGCGAAACCCCGGCTACCCGGTATTTTTAAAAAGTGGTGTAAAAATATTTACTCTGTGAACATGGAAAACGGTGCTAAGGGTATTTACCTGTTGTCTGCAGCGTTATGTTCTTTTCTCAGCCTCGATAATATGTAACACTGCAAGTGACATTTGTAAATGCCACAAATAAAGACGCCGCTATCGCCGCTTCAGAATTCCCACTTCTGGTGCGAATGCAACCAGGAAAACGGCCTGAGGGAGAAATTGGTTTTCTAGGAACCACCCTGCTGGCTAGTTCCCAGAACTACGCAGTGCGAAAGTGCCTGTTGAAGACACATGGCATGTCACATGACCAATTTGATGTATTTAAAAATGCACCTGCGAATGTCATATAAGAGCTTGGTTAAAGAGAAGGGTTAAAGGGATAGTTCACCCAAAAATGACAATTACCCCATCCTAGGTATATATGACTTTCTTCTTTCGGAGTTATATTAAAAAATGTCCTGCTTCTTCCAAGTTTTATAATGGCAGTGAATTGTAGTTGAGGATTTGAAGCCCAAAAAAGTGCATTAAGCCATCATAAATCGTGTCCCACACGGCTCCAGGGGGTTAATCTCTAGCTTTCGCTAACTGTCATACGCACGTTCACGAGAGAAAGTCGGATGATGTAGCATGTAGGCATAGCATAAGCTCTGGTGAGAAGATGCTAGTCTCCAAGTTTTGTTTACAGCAAAGGAAAAGCAGTCTCCTCTTTGCTTATATCAAAATCCTCCAACATTTTCCTTTACAAATCCTCGTGTGTTTGTTTGTTCATGTTTCGTAGCTGGTGTTTTGTTTTGCTCTCTCCTCTGCGCTTCCGTGTTCATCACTTCTCACCGGAGCTTACACTACTCCGTGTGGAGTACTTTTTATGATGAATGGATGGACTTTATTTTGCTTCAAAAACTCGACCACAATTCACTGCCATTATAAAGCTTGGAAGAGCCAGGACATTTTTTAATATAACTCTTTAATATAACTACTTTTTGGGTGAACTATCCATTTAAATTGCGTTAGGTTCCTCAAATGAAACTATCACATGACCTGAGTAGACTTGAATACAGTGCAGAGTAAGGATTGCGTTTATGATGCTGATGCAGTATATTAGAAGTATGATAATTCTCAGTTTACGTTATACCCTTTGTGCCCATTATACCCTCTGCCAAGCTTTGAAATCCAATTTTATGCTGCAAAGAAAAAAAAAACTAAAAACAAAAACAAAACTAAAACCTTCGACAATGTAAAAATGCTTGTTCTCTTTCTTCCAGGCTTGCAGGTTGTGCTTAAATCCATCATGAAGGCTATGATCCCTCTGCTGCAGATCGGTCTGCTGCTCTTCTTTGCCATACTCATGTTCGCCATCATTGGTCTTGAGTTCTACATGGGCAAATTTCACACCACTTGCTTTGACAACATCACTGGTAGGCCTTTATGTGCTTGTTCTCACTCGCAGATTTTTTCATTCATGATCTCCAAAACTTTGATTGTGTATGAAAAAAACACCCTTTTCTTTCTGATAGATGAGATACGAGAGGAGTTTCCATGCGGAAATGACACTAATGCTCGGACCTGTCCTAATGGAACAGTATGTAAAAAGTACTGGATTGGACCCAACTATGGTATTACCCAGTTTGACAACATCCTGTTTGCCGTGCTCACAGTCTTCCAGTGTATCACCATGGAGGGCTGGACTGACCTGTTATACTATGTAAGTCATATTGCAAAAATTTCACTAAAGCCATAGAGCTTCCTAATTTAATTTTGGGATTTTTTGACCTAAGCTTAAATAGACTGCAAACAATGTTTCAAGAGAAATGTTCAATTCTGATTGTTCTAAAGTGCTTGTGTGAAACCATAAATACATACATGCATACATACACACTACATACACACCCTACACACTACTGTTCATTTACTTGATCAAAAATACAATAAAAATGGTAATCTGTGAAATTGTGAGCAATTTTAAATATTTTTAAAATATTTTGTTTTCTGTTTTAATATATTTTAAAATGTATTACAGTGATGGCAAAGCTGAATTTTCTGCATTATTACTTCAGTCTTCAGTCACATCACATGATCTTTCAGAAATCATTCTAATATGTTGATTTGTTGCTCAAGAAACATTTCTCTTTACAATCAATGTTGAAAACACTTGTGCTGCTTAATACTATGGAAACTGTGATGCTTTCAGGATTCTTTTAAAAATAGAAAGTTCAAACAAAACTGCATTTAATGGAGTCAATAAAATGCATTCTTGCTGAATAAAAGTGTTACAGTATTTCTATTTAATATATATTTTATAGCAGCACAGCAGTCCTTGTGCAAGAAGCGCAAAAACACTTTTGTCTCAGATGGGCTTGGAATTGGTGGGCCTCACCTTTTAACATAGACATCCTGTATTATTATGGTTTTGATTAATCCTCCGAGTAGAGGATTACTGATTTCTTTTACTTAAAGATTATCAGAAAGTATCCAATCTAAGGGACTGAACAGCCCCACCTAATCCACATCCACTGTACCTTTCAGTCGCAGACATACAGTAAGCAAAATCTCGCCTATAGAGTCAAAGATGGCGCAGTGCATTTATAGTCTTATCGCTCGTGGCCAGCCTGTCCACTCTGAACAGACAGCGCTGTTTCCAGTGAGTTCACCTGCCCTCTGCGCCAGAAAATAGGGCAGTGAAGTCAATGCTATGTTCAAAATTTTCACAAACTAATGATGTTACCTCAGGGGCCAGTTTAATCCCAATGCCACGTCAATCCATCTCACAAATCAACAACATGTTTAAGGATTAAAGGTTTATTTTAGAAATTATCTTGCTTGCCAATGAGAATTAGTCTGAGGATGGTTATTCCATATGACTAAGGCTTGCAGTTCTGTACAGCCCAATCAGATGTCATCATCTCTTATTTGGTCTTACTGTATTTTTATCCCTGTTTTCTTTTTATAACTCTTGCTGCTTGGCTCGCTGTACCCCCGATTTTTACTTGCCCCAGCTTTTTTCTTCCTCCTGTTTCTCTCCAGTGAACGGGGCTCTATATATAACAGACCCTGCTCAACTGAAGTTATTCTTACAGCTGCTGAGAAAGAAACCTATGAAAATTGAATTGCAAAAAAGCTGCAGTACATACTGGGGCTTTCAGAGCTCTCAGACATGCAGAGAGAGTGAAGGAGCGGACGAAAAAGAAGTGGGGCAGATCAAGGGAGACTATGGGGCATAGCTACAACAAAATGCCATTGTATATTACAAATATTGACAAATTACTGTAAATGGAAAATAAAATCTAAAGATCTCAGCAGATTCAGCTGGGTTATTTTAAAATATCTTTAAAGGATTAGCTAGTTTACTTCAGATATGAGTTCTGGACAGGGCTGCGACGATAAATCGATACATTGAGATTCGTGGATCGATTCTGAGATTTTAAGAATGCATCGCGATTCTCTCTGTAATTGATTCTGAGCTTAGCTTTTAACAGCAGATGGCGTTCTAATCTAGTTTTTATCTGCACAACCCGATCCGCGGATTTTCCGCAGCGCCCGCGGATATAACCGCCATCCGCGCATCACTACTGCACACTCAAATGCTCACGAAGAAGAGCGCTTGTGCGTTTGACTGAGTCATGTAATTTCACCTCAGTTTAGAATGCTTTTATGAACCGAGATTAATGTAGACACAGCCCACTGTGAACACCCTTGTAATTTTCGAAGTTTATGAATGATTATTTTAGGTTCAACCGTTCAAGTGTGTGTAAGGATTTGGAAGCAAGCAAGAGTACGGCTGTTTCTAAAGCATGCAGTGCCATCTGCTGTTCAAAACTAAGCTCAGAATCGATTCGAGAAAGAATCGTGATGCATTCGGAAAATCTCAGATTCGATGCAGAATCATTTCTCAATTCACGATGCATCGATTTATTTTCCCAGCCCTAGTTCCAAACCCTTATGAACTTTTAGTTTTTGTTTTTTTTTTTGAAACGCAAAAGGATATTTAGTGTTGATGCCGATAGCCTAGTGGGCAGTGCGCCGAAATATAATGTTGTTGCGTTGCGGTTGTCCCGAGTTTGAATCCTGGCTCGAGGACATTTCCTGAGCCCCCCCAGACCCCCCAACCCACTTTGAATGACATAACGTAAGTAAATGATGACACAGCTTTCATTTTTTGGGTGAACACTTCCTTTAAAACAAAATGTGTCTCCTTGAAAATACAAAAATGTGTAGAGATTGTAACATCATCTCCAGATTTCCTAAAGCAGCACTTGTGGGCTGTTTCGATCTGGGCTTTTGTAGCCTGGGCTTCTTCCCTAGAGGCAGCCAGTGGAGCAATGCCACACAAGATGGCTGCCCATTTGTTCCTCTCTGCAGTGACAGGGTGCAGAGGTGCTGAGCACCCAGCTGTGTGTACCACAGATGAAGCAGCCCCAGCCAGATGGTTGCCATTCTCAGGTTGCACGTCGCATGGTACATGGTGTCCTAGGATCTGCCACAGTTCTGTCATAGATGTTCTCATCCTCTGTTAGTGGGGTCAAATTTCCTGTCACCTTATAAAAATTACCAAATAAAAATGGCAAACATTCTGATGTCTTTCTACTGTGGAGAGTCTTGGGAAGACAAACATAAAGAAAACCAGATGAACAAACCATACTCTCAGCTGGAGAGAGAAAAAATGTTTGGATGTGTGCCTCATGGTACTGACTGGGCTGTTTTATGCCGTTACAGAGCAATGATGCTTCAGGGAGTGCATGGAACTGGGTGTACTTCATCTCCCTCATCATCATCGGCTCCTTCTTCATGCTCAATCTTGTGCTGGGTGTGCTGTCAGGGTAAGAAACCTCTCTCAGACAGTGTGAGCTCTTCTCAAATTCTGCGCTGATTTTTTTCAGGTCTACACTGGTGCATTGTTTGATTTGCTTATGAATTACAGTGTTCATGATAGTTTTGTGGATTTTATGTGAACTAAAGAGTTTGTGGATGTTATGTGTTTAAAAAATGACGTTTTTGTGTATTGTGTGATTTTTTTTTAATTATTTTTTTTTATTAGCCCATACAGAGGTAGATATCTTGGGTATACCACCACAAATGAAAATTATTTTAGATAATGTTATGTGTTTAAAAAATGACGTTTTTGTGTATTGTGTGATTTTTTTTTATTTTTTTTTTATTAGCCCATACAGAGGTAGATATCTTGGGTATACCACCACAAATGAAAATTATTTTAGATTAAAAAATTTTACAGGTGCAATTATAGAACTTTTCATTATATTTTTTAATTATATTATCAGCAGAGCAATTTTTATAAAAACTGAGTGAAAAATAGCATCTTGTGCTTCAGTGGAAAGAAATCTGATCTCTTGTACAAATAAGTTCACATGTCAGTGTCACATTTTTTTTTATTAGTGAGCTAGTGCAGAATCTGAGATATTTCTTAATCATTTTGTCATCGTTATCTTTTTTTGTAACTTATTTTTAGATTTAAATTGCATTTTGAAATCCAGATTATTTTTGTGTTGTTTCAGACATTAATACAAGTTAATTAATGAAATGTATATAAAATTCCTGAATTTCAGTATTTATGTTGCACACTCTTTATTAAAATGTCCCTCAAAAATATTTAAAAACACCACATTTTCATTATCCATCGATAAAGACATCCAAAGCTTAAAATGCTTAGAATTATGCCTAAACATCTTATGTTATTACGAAGTCCCACGCTTGACATGCAGAAAAAAATAGGTGTAATAGAATTAGTTCCCTCATTTAAATTTAGTACAACGTGGCCACAATTTAACTAAAGAGCGGAAAATTAACTAAGTAGTGGGAATGAATTGTTAATTCGTGGCCAAGATGACTTGTTTTTTTTCCCTCTCCAAAAATCTCCAAAATAATTAGTATGTATGTGCATTTTGTGTTCTTCCATTGACAAGTATTTGTTTGCATGCATGTGTATGTGATACAGTGAGTTTGCCAAAGAAAGGGAGCGCGTGGAGAACAGGAGAGAGTTTCTTAAGCTGAAGCGTCAGCAGCAGATAGAGAGAGAGCTGAACGGATATCTGGAGTGGATCTGCAAAGCAGGTAAATGCCATAGAAAGAGCCATTAAATACTCCAGAGAGAAGCTAAAGCCAAGAATTCAGATAGTAGCTTGTCTCTTTTGATACGGATGTCTTTACACTTGTGCGTCTCAGTATTGGAACGTGCTGATAACATACACAATGTTTTATTAGGCTTCTTTTAAGCACTAGAAATTGTCCCCATTTTCATGACTTTTGCAGTGGTTTGATTTGAATCTGTTTTGATTCTGTACAGAAGAAGTGATTTTGGCTGACGAGGACAATGACCCAGATGACCGGATGCCCTTTGACGGTATTTACGTGAACTCCTCCATCCTTCCTTCCTTTTCATCCCCCTCTGCTCCTCTCTTTGCTCCCTCACTGGGACTAGGTGTTGATTTCCCATTGTAAAAGAAGAGAGAGATCAATAGCGTGTTGGCTTTGCTGAGGGGGTGATATTGTATACTTCTTGTCCATATGCACAGTTAATGTAGTGTTCATGGGTACATTTACATGGGCCGTCAGTCTGTAGCTTACAGCAGACATGTGATAGACACACTACACTTCCTAGTTGTCTCGTTTAGTTCTCTGTTCATCTATCTGTTATGTATTAATATTTTAGGTTGTCAGAATCTGTATGTATATCTGATCTGTATGCGACTGTGGTCTGTTACACACAGGCTCGCGAAGGAGGCCTACCATCAAGAAGAGTAAAGCAGACCTGCTTGATGCAGAGGATGGAGATGGAGATATAGGTGCATTTGAGTTATATAAAAAACACACAAATACACTTGTAGTTTTTTTTTGGCTCAGGGTTGATCAATGGGGTTTTGGCATAAAAATTACCATTAAAAACATGTTCGTTTTTGGTATTCTTTAAAAGACGATTTAAAATCCTTAGGATAATATTGATAAAAAGTAACATGGTGTATATCATAGCACTGAGCTATTATTAATATTTTGAATCGGTTTTCTTTTTTCTTTTTTTTTCTTTTTTTCGTATATGTATATGTGTGTATATATATATACTGTATATATATATATATATATGTTAAATAACTCTGGTACTACCGTCTTATACCATCATTTTTTCTTTTTTGTAAGGGACCATTGTTCCCCTGTTAACATCTTTTAATTGTATAAAAAATAATTAAATAATTCCTGTTATTAGTGAACTTCAATAAGTACATGCTTATCTGCAGTGGGCTCCAAAAGATTGATTTGCACTTTTTTGTAAATTTAATATATATTTTGATTTACAAAATATATTTCAATTCAATTCAATTCAAGTTTATTTGTATAGCGCTTTTCACAATACAAATCGTTGCAAAGCAACTTTACAGCAAATTAAGTTTCTACAATATTTAGTAGTAGCTTATCAGTGGTGACTGTCAGTTAATATACATATGGCAGAAATGTACGGAAAAATCAATTAAAGACGTATATAATATTTATAGCAGAACATTTTGAGTAAAAAGTATTTTGATAAATTTACCTGAATTACAAAATTATCTCCCTAATTTTCAGATGTCATATCAGATAGGACATTTCAGTTTTCATTTGATTTTATTGTATTTTGCTTCCTTGCCACTCTGCTTAACAGCTTCTTTTCCGACTGTCAGGTTCTCCGTTTGCACGGGGCAGTCTGAAGAGCTCGAAACTGGAGGGCTCTTCCTTCCATAAAAAGGAGCGTCGGCTGCGATTCTTCATCAGGCACATAGTGAAGACGCAAACGTTCTACTGGACTGTGCTGTGTCTGGTGGGACTCAACACACTGTGTGTGGCTGCTGTGCACTACGACCAGCCCGAAAAGCTCTCCGACTTCCTTTGTAAGTCTATCCATCTGTCTGTTCTCTCATTATTACAGTAAACCCACACAGAACGTGCAGACTTTTCTGTATTTTTTGTGCGTATTGTGTGGGGAAAATCAGCAAAACTTTGAGGATGTATTTTCAGTGCGGACATGCTCGAACCTGTGAGGTTTCTTTCATTGCATGTAGATGAGTGGAGAGATAATGATGTTTTAATTTACTTTTTTTATTTTCCTGTTTATGGTTTCCTATTTTACTTTCTGAAGATGTTACTCTGTTTCATTTCTTGTATCTTTGTTTATTTATTAATTGTTATTCGTTAAAGCAGACATAACACACAGTTTCTGCATGTCACAATCTCATGTGAATCTTGAGTACCTAGTATTGCATCCTTCATATCTCCGAGGAGTCTTTATTTTTGTCAGATTGATAAAAAACAGTCTGAAAACAATCGAGCTCCTGGAGGCCTGGTGTGGGCGGAGCTAAAGGGTCATGAGCATGCAAAGCTTTTGCGTAGCGATCGTCTGCAAGCTGACATGAAGACAGGGACAAAAACTTTATTGACTTCAAGTAAATATGGCTAACTAATTAACGAATGAAGCACATTGATGGGCATGCCCTTGCTCTCGCTCTGGTTGACGTGTAGGGTTAGGCACTCTTCCAGGAGAAGTGACCATACAAGGAAGTCCACCCTTTATAACATCATACTCCAAAAAATGTTCCGAAACGTATCCACCTATTTCTTCAACGCAGAAGTAAGCCTATGGGCAAGACTTCTGGTTCATTAGCCGCTGTAGGGAAATAACAAGAAGAATAACAGTGTGCAGTAAACAGTAAAACTGTTTGCATTACAAACCAGTGTGTTCATAATTAAGAAATGCATTAAAATAATATGGTAAAACACACCAACTTCCATTATCATGCAGCAAAATGGAAAGCAGACCCATAGAATTTACAAATGGCTGCGCCCGCTCTTACGGGAAGAAGAAGGTGGATACAGACCCTGTAGTAGTGTCTTAGGCACAGAAATTCTCTGTCATACGTCCGACTCCTTTTTTGAGACTTTGGTCATGTTTAGCATGAGATCCAACTCTTTAGCAGCGTGAATAAGTCAGAATGCATGAAATAGCATTAGACATTCCCTTTGAGTAATACCCTCAAAAGTATTACATTTTGGACACTTAAAAATATCTGAATAGCATTTTCATCATATTAACAGTGGATGTTCAGTTAGTTTGACAACCATTACATTTCCTAATTGTAATATTGAACAGCATATCTATTGTTTGAACAGTATCTCTGTCATTTGAAATCAACAATTTTCTTGCTTTTAAAAAGTGTTTGTGCAGTATTTATTTAAAATAAATACCCCCCCCCCATATAACGCATATACATTTATGTATTTTAAAATGTGGCTGCACAAATGGTTTTCTTTAATTTCTTTGTATCTTTGACCTTTGCAAATGCTCTTTGTCTCTGTCTGTTTCCCTCTCTCTCCTCAATCCAGACTTTGCTGAGTTCATCTTCCTGGGGATCTTTATGTCAGAGATGTTTATTAAGATGTATGGGCTGGGGACCAGACCTTATTTTCACTCCTCCTTCAACTGTTTTGACTGCATTGTGAGTTTCTCCCACCCCTCCTCCTTCTTTTACTAAATCCAAAAAACATTTGAAGGAAACCAAGCCATTATTCCAGCCAATCATTGCTCTTTCAGGTCTTAATGTTGATATAGTTACTGAAGTTGTTTATATAATTTGTAATTCACTGCACTAAATCAGTTTCTTAATCAGTATTTCAGTGTTTTGGATGTTTTAATAAATGATGATTTTGTGAGAACTGTGTGAAGCAGATATGGGTTAGTGTTTGACGTTGGGTAAGGGGTTTTTGTTTTGTGGCTTGCTGTTGAGCTTTAAATGTGTGTTTTATATATGTGTGTGTCTTTGTGTGTGTGTGTGGGACAGGTCATTTGTGGCAGCATTTTCGAGGTGCTCTGGTCTATGATCCAGCCAGGAACCTCGTTTGGGATCAGTGTGTTACGAGCTCTCAGGTTACTGAGGATCTTCAAAGTGACCAAGTGAGTCTCTCACGTCTCGAGTCCCATGTCTGTCTTTCTGTCCCACTCTTTGAACTGTTTTAAGAAGGACTAAGCATTTTAAATGTCCTTCTTTCCCATTTTCAGGTATTGGGCGTCTCTGAGGAACCTGGTGGTGTCTTTGTTGAACTCCATGAAATCCATTATCAGTTTACTCTTCCTCCTTTTCCTCTTCATCGTGGTCTTTGCTCTGCTGGGCATGCAGCTTTTTGGAGGACAGTCAGTATAACACTACAATACACATAATAACAGAATTTTTTTTTTACATTTATTTCCATGGGTCACCAGAGTCAGTCCAGGCCCTAAATAAGGCATGGCATGGAAATACTCTGTGTAACAACAATATAACCACCATTTCTTCTCTTCAGGTTTAATTTTGAAGCCGGCACACCACCTACAAACTTTGATACTTTTCCTGCAGCAATAATGACAGTATTTCAGGTGAGCAAATGTGCCCATCAAACAGTGTGCAATCATTCTGTGTGTTTTCCATGGCTTTGTGATAATGGACCTTCTCTCTGCACCTTAGATCCTGACGGGTGAAGACTGGAACATGGTCATGTATGATGGGATCGAGTCTCAGGGCGGAGTCAAAAAGGGCATGGTCTTCTCAGTCTTCTTCATCGTTCTTACACTCTTCGGCAACTGTATCCAAACACATAGTATTGCATGCTGACATGCTGTTTCGCTTAATTTTCACATACACCAGTGCAGCATTAATATGATGATCCTCAACCCTTCTGTGAACAGACACTTTGCTCAATGTGTTCTTGGCTATCGCTGTGGACAATCTGGCCAATGCACAAGAGCTGACCAAGGTAAACACATTTTTTGGGTAATGGATCAGGGGTTAAAAACAAACAAACAAATAAATAAAGTAACATTCAGTAAAAATGAAAAACTTGATTTACACACAGCCATGATCAAGTAAAAGTAAATATTAAAAGAAACGAAGACTGGGATCCATCTGGCATGTGGTGTGCTTGGGCTTGTTTAGAAATTTCTGAGGGCAAATCAGTGTTACATCTCTAATAAATAGTTATGTACATGGTAAAACATTTTTTTATGTCAATTAAATACTTTTCTTTATTATTTTCTTATGGTGGTTGCATTAACTCACTAGGCACTAGTATGAGAACTCTCAATGACCATGTTTCTCCTTCTCTCTGTCAGACTGTTTATCCTTCACACTCCTACGCACCAGCGTGCATCACATTTGAACCAATATGCTTCATGTTTCTCTCCATGTATAGGATGAACAGGAGGAAGAGCAAGCAGCCAATCAGAAAATGGCTCTTCAGGCGGCCAAGGAAGTAGCAGAGGTCAGCCCACTGTCTGCAGCCAACCTCTCCATTGCTGCGTGAGTATATCTCTCTCTCATATCTCTCTCTTTGTCCTGATGCCACATTTTCTCTCCCACAATTTCTTTGTCTTCCTTTTATGTTTGTTTTTATGTGTTCAGACTATGTGTTGCTCTTGTATCAGCCAAATAAACATAGGGGTCAATAATAGACCAAAAAAACAAAACAAAAAAAACAAACAGCAACACTTTCAATCTGGCTTTTTTGGTTTCCGTCAAACAAGAGTCAAAAATTGCAGCATTGAGGATGATTCCGGTTTGTCAGTGTGCCAATGCATCCAAGTATTTGTCAGGAAAAGAAGAGCGAATCGTGAGAGAATATGTGTGTATTACTGAGGACGAGCTTGTGAATGAGGGAGAAGAGCAAAGAGATGTTCTGTGTTTCTCACATGCTGTTTTCCTCCTCAGCGTGACAGTAAACTCTGAGCGTCTTGATGCAACAGAACACTTTCTGGACTGGTATTTATTCATTTATACTCTTTCTGTTCTTTCGAAACGCCTCTCTGTTCGCCCCACACCTCCCACTCTTTTCCCATCCGCCTTTTCGACATGTGCATTTCCTCCTCGGTTCTCTGTGCTGCTCCCTGCTCTGTTTTCCAGACCGCTGGGTGGGATGGGACGGGTTTGTCACTCCTCGTCTCTTCTTCTCTCTTCATCCTGCTACTCATCACCTGCTGTTCTCCTCTTATCTCCTTTACTTTCTCTCTTTCACATGCTTTGCTCCAAGGGTTGGGCGCCTGTGATGTGTTCACTCCCAGAATTATTATAGTTATCTTCTTTCTGTGTGTGTGTTCTGTGAGTGAGTTTGACCCAAGTGGTGCAATCATGCTCTTTAACAAATGGTAGCTGGTAGCTTGTAGGTGGGCATTTTCAGCCTGCGGTAGCTGCAGCAACCTCACTTTTCCCTCTTGATGATTACTAATCTCAGATCTACTGTAAATGTCTCTCTCTCTGTCGCTCTCTCTTTTCTGCAGTAAAGAGCAACAGAAGAACCACAAAGGTTGTAAGTCGGTATGGGAGCAGCGCACTAGCGAGTTGAGACGACAGACCCTGATGAACAGCAGAGAGGCTCTTTACAATGAGTTGGACCCTGAAGATCGCTGGAAGGTGAGAAGAAATGACGGAGAAAGACATGCTTGGTCAAAGAGGATGGATTTAAATATCAGTTATCAGCTGATAAAAAAGTTTTCATTTCATCGGTCAATTATTGCATATTTAATTGTACTTTTCCACTATTTTTTACTTTTTTACATTTAATAACACTGTTAAACGTAATCTCAAATCTCAAAATGAATATCCATTATTATTTTGAATATTTATAGTGTTGTGATTCCTTAATTTACTTTAAGATTGGTTTCATTTAAAATTGATTGGTTATTTTCATTTATTTAGACAAAATAGTATCAAATTTAAATATCAACCATTTATAAACAATAAATGGGAATAAATTGGGCATAATATTAAAATAATTAGAAGCTTATCGCATTAACAAGAATACTAATATTGGTGTTTTTTAATGTGTTTCCTAATAATAGTATATACAGTGACCCCCAGTTTACAGGTTCAACACAAAAATATTCATTTTTAATTCAGTATTTCTGTCTTGTTTTCCATTATCCTTTAAAGCAAGATAAGTCTAGTGAATAAATTCTTTAAACAATCTGCAACAAAATATTAAGTATCATGATATTTATTTTAATATAAATAGAATGTATATAAATAAATAGATATTAAAGGGTTAGTTTTCCCAGAAATAAAAATGCAGTTATCATTTTGTCACCCTTAAGTTCCAAGAGTGTACGAATTTCTTTATTATGCTGAACACAGAAGAGAATATTTTGAAGAATGTTGGTAACCAAACAGTTTCTGGTCCCCATTGACTTCCATAATATATATTTTTTTCATACTACGGAAGTCAGTGGAGACCAGCAACTGTTTGGTTACCAGCATTCTTCAAAATAGTTTATTTTATGTTCCACACAAGAAAGAATGTCCTACAGCTTTAATATTTTGGTTAATATTTGTCTTGAATTAAGTTCTTATTTGATTGACAAATGTGTGGCCTTAGTTTTGTTTTTATCATGCCTCTAGGTCTCATACTCCCGTCACATTCGTCCCGATATGAAGACACATCTGGACCGGCCGCTGGTCGTGGACCCTCAGGAGAACCGCAATAACAATACCAACAAAACTCATCCGGGTGACGGCCAGCCCCAGCACACTCATCAGCTCCTGCACAAACAGCCCAACTTCAATGAGGGGGAGAGTGGAGGAGGAGGTGGAGGGTCTGAGCCCTGGGCAGCGTTGGAAAGGGGGGACTCCACAGGGTCTCGTCGGAGTCTTTTAGGCTCCGAGAACCATGGGGTGGGTAGAGAGTCTCACCGCAGACATCAGCATGGCGAGCGCTGCAGCCAGGCCCGCCAACACCATAAAGCTGCAAAGGATGAGGGAGAGGGCGGAGGGAAGAGACACAGGAGTAAAGGCAGGGAAAGAGGACCTGAGTGTGAGCATGCAGATGGAGGAGAGCGGAAACACAGACATCATCGTCATGAGGGCGAAGGAAGAAAAGAGAGAGGGGTGCGACACCGTACCAGGAAGTGAGTTTAGTCGAAATTAATCTATATAAATGATTTTATATACATATATGTATATACAATTTATATATATATACAGTGGGTACGGAAAGTATTCAGACCACAAAAACATCAGACGGGCTGAATGAATATTTTATTATTACTCTTTATTAGTATTAGTGTTTTATTACCTTAATTATATGTATGTCTGCACTATGTCTGTAGGCTACTTTCTGTACTGGAAGCTCCTGACACCAAGACGAATTCCTTGTGTGTGTAAACACACTTGGCAATAAAGCTCTTTCTGATTCTGATGAAAATGCAAATTCAATCTCTGACACCAGGTGGCGCTTATAGAACAGTAGCAATAAAGGGTTTCCTGGGTTATTGCTGTACGCAGTGCTGTGCATATTAACACTCCTTTAATATGTATTTAACAAAGGTAAGAGGAAAAAGAAAATGCCAACGAAACCTTTCTGAAGACATTCAGTTCTCCTCAGAAATACATCCATATTAACCCAGACCCTAATTCCATAATTATGGTTTTCTTTCAGTATTTCGAGCATCGCAAACAATGAATTTGTTCTGTCTAGATATATCATGATGAGCACTACGTTTGTGTTACCGAATTGCATCCTGTCAGGAATAACCTGCCCGCGCTGTTTTTAACCTTTTAATTACTGTCATCCCGGGGGAACTCAATCGTGCAGCCGACGCGCTCTCACGACAGCTCACGTTCCCTGGAGAATGGAGACTCCATCCCGAGACGATCCAGCTGTGTTACCGAATTACATCCTGTCAGGAATAACCTGTTTTTAACCTGGTCGTTTTTGATTATTGTCAGTTTAAATGCCAGCGTTGCCAGATATCGAAAAACAAACAAAACAATCTAAAAATAAATAAACCGCAATGAGTCCAAATCAAGTCCAAAACCTGACCTGAAATAACCTAACAAATCAATCGGGGCGGTTTCATAAACGGCAAATTAAGTTCACACAATATCACTAATTTGTGCACGTTTATTTTTAAGCAACTCTTTGTCGATCATGGATCAAATCGATCCAACATGGCTAACAGCGAATATATTTGTGCTGTTTAATGCATTTGATTGTTTTCCTCAGTGCATAACTGACACGTCACAGGTATATTCTTCATCTGTAAATGTTAGAAAGTCATGCAAATATATCCATTTTACTGTCAGGAACGCTGCAGCGCGCATGTGTGCTAAATATAATACCGCAATAATTCTGAGTAAAATATACATTCTGCTAAAATATGTTGTTGTTGGACATTAAATTTATGATAGCAGTAACTGTAAAGGGACTATTGTAATGGGTAAATCAAATGTAAGCTAGTACAGTCCTAATTAGGCTACTCGAATGAGTTAATGTGTGTTTCTTATATCAGTTCAAATATACAGGTGCATCTCAATAAATTAGAATGTCGTGGAAAAGTTCATTTATTTCAGTAATTCAACTCAA